ACGAAGATGAAAATGAAGAAAGTTCAGATGAAGACGAAGTAATAAGTAATCAAAATTACGGACAACGAATTCAGGGCCATGGATTTTTGGTTTGTTGTAAACATGATGGCATTTTAGAGAGACGTTTTTAAAGTTGAAAAGCGTGATCGAAATACATTACTGCCAATTATATTAAAACGAAGTTGAACAAGGTACTACTATATATTCCGATAAATGGCGGCGTATTCTACTTAAATGAACATGGTTTATCCATAAACGGTCAATCATTCAGAAAATTTCATTGATCCAATAATAACTGTGCTGAGACCCAAACTATAGAAACTTTTGAGACACGTCAAAAATAAATATAACATTAAAACCCGGGGAGCGACTGACATTGTTTTCGCTGCGACAGAGCTTACGATAGAGGGCAGTTTTCTGCCGCAACTTGCGCAGATGATAGACAAAGGATCGGGTGACCAACTTATAAATATATACGAAATACTCAAAATTTAAGAATAACAATATCACTGCAACGCCTAGCGTACAGTATACATATATATTACAAATAAATTATATATATGAAAAGGTTCGTATTGACTAATAATTAATAATATGCGGGCGCCCAGAGCATTTACATATAAGATAATATAGTATAACAAATTAATAAACAATAATTACACCTATAATAATGTGCGCTAATAAAATTTTATAGGCCTTTAAGTACAAGGACCTTCAATGCCACAGGTATAAAAGAAAATATATAATAATACGTAATCGTATACTAATAATAACAGTTGGGCATTAAGGTCATAGTATACAAATAATAATTTTACTGGTCACTGAACACGAGGGGACAAATATGAGTAGAATAACAATGTAGGACCTGATGGCGACAGCACTGGACCAACTGGCTCCTTGACACCGATGACGACTGTAGCTGATGCAAACAAGCTCTTCGTTGACGAGTTAAAAAAAAAAAATGACACCTCGTGATCACATGCGGTTTTGTTGGTTGCGACACGCAAAAATAACGGTTGACGAACACGTTGTTCTCAGGTCAACCGTTGTAAAAAGACAGACACACAGACGTCGAGCTGGCTAGCGATTCGGCCATGGGCTTACGAACTGTCACCAGACAGCGGAGGGGGAGCTTGCTGGACACAGCTTTATCTTGTAGCCGGACACCTTATCTTTTGCCACACCTGTGGTGTCCCGAGGAGATATATATAATTTGGCCAAAAGAAAAAAACCGTTCCGCGATCGAACAACTATGTTCATAACAATCTCTCGTGTAATAATAATAACAATAATATTCGTACTAATAAAGAGATATCAAAATATTATTTCTATAACTCTCTGCACAGTGAAACAAACTTGTATAATTATCATAGACATAAGTTCATTGTTACGAGTATTTGGTCGAATTTATTACGCGCCGAAAAGTACCTTGACGTAGGTATCGCCGAAACGGTCTCGCGCTGAAACGGATGTCTTCGAATCGACATTTCGCCGAAACGTCCAGCGCCCAACTTTCGACGCCGAAACGTCCCATTCCCCCTACCCTGTACACTGCTCTTCGACGGTTGACGACCAGTTAGTCGTTAGTCAGGTGTCACTAGTCACTACTCCGTAGTCCGTACTCATTGCGACATTACTAATTATTGCTCTGTTGCTCACGACGGTCGCGTTTTGTTTACAGAACGCACTATAAATTTTGATTTTAATATTTTGTTTCTTTTTAAATATTTATTGAACTGAATAATACGGATTCTCTAAAGTCTATTTTTATCAGCAGTGATTATTCAATACGATCGAGATTTATTCGTTTTGGATAGGAAAATATGAGTGAAATTACTATGCCTGTTTCTCAGTTTCAAGTCCAATGTGAGTATAATTTAAAAATTAAAATCTCATAATTATTGTTTTGTTAATGTCATTGATGGTTATATTTCACTCGGTTCAAGTATAATGATATTATTTATTAATATTTTATAGATTGTTATTACGCAATAGCTTATAATGGAGGGGCTAAAACTAGAATTTTTTTTTTTTTTAACTTAAAATGTTTATTTCCACAATCTGTTACATTTAGAACCAATAAGTGTTAGTGATGTTAAGATTTTTTTATGGCTAGAATAACAGAATAAAGAAACCTTCCAGTGAAGGCACTTTGACAGTTAATTAATTAAGTAATTTTTACAATATACAAGTATATACAGTTAGAATGAAATTAGGTTATATATATAAACATTATTTTTTATTTTTTTTTAAGTTAGCAGGACCTGGCACGGCGGCCCCACCGCCTTTTCAATCTTTTTTGTGGATTACCAGGAATGTTTGCTGACGCAAGGCTTTTTATTAAGGGATTTGCGTGGTTTTGTATATTAAGGTTGAATCGCTTATAGGAGGTTTTTGCTACATCTTGGACAGAAGATATGGCAAGATCATGATGTAGGGATTGGTTTGAGACATAAAAAGGTGCTTTGGTTATAACACGAAGGGTTTTTGATTGGAAGCACTGTATGCGATTTATGTTCGAAATCTTTGTAGAGAATTAAGATAGTTTTTTTTGTATTACGAGCAGGTAAGTATAGTCGTTGCTGAGTAGTGTAGTGGCGTAGTGTTGCGAAATACAAAAAACCGATTTTGATTTCTTCCCTAATAGTTGTATCCTATTAGATTACTAAGATTGTTATATTGGCGTATATCGACTCCGCCGGCTACTCTTTATATTATTTACATATTTATTCGGATGGCTACTGCTTATAATATTTGCATATTCATTTCGTCGGCCACCGGTCGTTTATCCCTAAACTTATTAAACCTAGTTCGGAAATTTTCGGAAAGTTACTATAAAAAAATAAAAATACATCCAACCAACTTTTGACCACATTGTTCGCATTAAGATTAAATATTAATATTAATAGTAATTTAAGTAATAGTTATTTTTTTCATAAAAGTTAAAAATTCTGTAATACTTTAAACAGAAATTTAATAATATTTATTGTTGATTTATTTTATCATAACAATAAAAATATTTGTATAATTAAATACCTACTATAAATTTGTTATTTATTCATAGGAGGCGCAATTAATTTTTTTAATTTCAGAGTGACGTAAACTAATAAAGTTTAGGAATCACTGCTATATATTTTAAATACATATACAATGGGGGGGGGGATAAACAATGTCCGGCGGAATCAGCGGAATTGGTAAATTGCGTCCCGCAAAAAAGGTCATAGTTATATACTGTGTAAATTGCGGCCCGAGTATATTTTATACATACGTAAATTGCGGCCCGGGATATTCTGATTTCCGGTCGGCTGGTTATATTATCTTTAATATTGATTGATAAGGATATCACTTGATGCTCACTTCTATAATATTATTGAAATATTTTGCACGAGTTTTTACATTGGTCTACAGTATTTACAGTATTTGGTAAATTAGTATTTGTATTTTTTTTAAATTTAATAACAACCCTTAATGTAATTTACATAAAAATGATAAATATTTAAGTAGGTAAATATATTAAAATGTAACGGGGCCGCAATTTACGTATGTATATAATATTATAATTTATAAACAGTAGCCCATGGAATCGATAATTCCCCTGTTATAATTCGGTGGAACCCAAAAGCGCAAATCGTCTTAATTTTTTCGATAAACCAAAAGTGCAGTCATTTTGTGCTTTTGTACCTTAGTAGTGGGATAAATGCACAAAAATAAATATTGTACTTGTTACACTATAAGTTTCCTTTTAAATAATTAATTTTTAAATTAAATTATTCATTTTAATTAACCATGTAAATAGTATTTTTTAATTCAAAAATAGATCAACAGTGATCGAGTTCAGTTGAAGTTTAGTATTATATCGTATCGAATTTTATCGTGATGAATTACTGTGAAGGTTAATAATCATTTAACGTAACTATACAATTTGCAGTACAGACTTATACCTAACTTATAAAATACACTTTATTGTTGTAAAATTTATTTGAGCTTAAAGTTTGTTAAAAAGGTATTTTTTTTGCACTTATGGAATATTTATTTTTGTGCCATTAGGTTGCGTTTGGGTCATATTTTGCGCACATAGGCTACAGCCTTATAATTGAGTATCCAATGGTGCAATCAAAGGGAGCCCCCGGATCCAGACCATTCTTGAGTGTTTCTAAAGTGAAAAATTAAATTGAAAAATATTTTGATAATTTAATTATATAATAGTTACTCTAAGCGGACACCCCCTTGATAAAATCCTGGTTGCGCCACTTTGAGTATCTGTACTTCGGTGATATTCTATTGAAAAAACAGCACGTATATAATTAATAATTATTAATCATCAAATTTTACTTGCACGCGCTCTCAAGCAGTAGACCATGAGTTCATTAGAAACTTAAATGCTGGCGGGTGTCGCGTGTGTTGATATTATCTATTAAACCATGTGCATATTGCACAGTATATAGTAAAAACTCGCTTATAATTTATTGATTTATAAATAAATATATTTGTTGTCCGCAATCCGCAATGAGTTGTATAGATATTAATGTTTCAGCTATTGGTTTATTAAGTTTATTTTATTTTTAATAGTGTTTACTGTACTTTATTTAAATCTAACTTAACCTATTATACACACATTTATTAATACTCAAAATATTCATATAAATAAAAATGAATTTGAACAGTTCAGTTACTATTTATGATTATTATTTATTTTTGAAAACAGAAAAACAACAAATAACAATATGAAAATACGTCTACACTAGAATATTATTGTACTGTAAAAACCCATAGCTGTGTGTGGCATGTACCGAAAATATATTTTGTGTGTGCTGTTATTTGGTGAAAACGTCCATATGGGCACATATTTATAGTGCCATACGAAAAAATGTACGCCGAAGACGATGCACAATGTAAATTTTTACTAGTGTGGACGTGTGGCTATAATTATATAATTGAATTTTTCTAAATAATTTGTACTACATCTAGGCTTACATACTATTTTTTAGTATTAATATATGTACAATAAATTATATAATTTAATATTTTACGTACATTTAATCCTTTTATCATATTTTATGATACCTAATCCGACCTTTTTTGCGTTCCGAACATCCAATTTCCAACCATACCTAAAGGTAACGAATTAAAGTGGTTCTACTGTATTACATACTGTACGTTAACATTCAATAAAATTTAGTTTATGATTTAGAGTCCACTAATATATATTTTATCATAGGTGTTTAATTTCCGGTCGAGCCTGAGGAACAATAATTAATGTCCTAATACTTGGATAGTGTCCCTAATTTTTTTTTCAATACATTGATGTACATTCTAATTGTAAATTAAAAAACTGTGTAAATAGAATCAAGTTGTATGTGAACACAACATTAATGTGCTAATTTCTAGACATATTTTTGAAGTTAAAAATAAAATGATATAATTAATGTAATTAAGCATAAAAAGAAGAAAATACAATACTCAAAATTTTAAAAACTTGGTTTATTGGAAAAAAAATGCATTTACATAATATAATTTAAACTTAATTATTGTAATAATTTTGATTAAAGCATTATAAATGAATTCTTTATTTATATTTTATTTATTATTTCTCATACATTTAATTCGTCAATGACCATGTCAATATCAATACTAGATGTTGGTTATTTTGGTTCAGTAAACATTAATAATAAACAACTAAGTCAGTTTCAGCGTATAATACTCCTAAATTGATATTTTACTATTGTTGATTTAGAAAATACCCATTCGCAGGAACAACTGTCAACTTGTAAGTTGTAACAGTTATAACTGGTATTACACTGGATAATTTAATTACAGTGAAAAATCTATTAAATACTTTTATGTAATTATTTGCTTTCATATAATTTAACCACGAATGTATTGATTTATTATTAGTATTAGTATCTGGTTGAAATTTAATAATGCCCCTTATAAGATTCTGGTCGAGCCATCTATGCTTATTGTTATGAATGAAAATTACAAATTAATATTGTTATAATTATTCACGATTTTAAGAGTATTGAATAATGACTATTGGATTACTAATATTAATAATATTATTTTGTTTATTTTTAATTCCAGTCTTTATTAAGTGTAATGTATTGATAAATGTCGTCATAGTAATATCATTAATTACAGAATAGACATTATAATAAAAAGTAGTATCATGAGGGATTCGGATTTTTTTCAGTTTTTCACTCATTGGTTAGACGTTAGTTCATGTTTGCCGAGTTAAATAAATAATATTATTTATAAATCTTGCAATTCCAGCATTTAGCCATCATTCATCGTCGTATTTGACAATGCGCAATGTTAATTCGAAAATGCTATAAAACAATTTATCTATATAGTTGATTTTTTTTATTCGTTCATTGTGTGTACCGTGTAGGTATATTTGTTATTTTATTATTCATTATTACTATTATTCGTGTTACCAAAATAATAATATACATATTATAAGGGTTCTGAATTTTTTCTTCTTTTTAACGTGTTCGGTTATAGATGATTAGAAATACAAAGGTTTTTAGAAATAGAAATGTCTTCCTTATTCTTCGGTTACTTTTTCTTGATGCCAAAATTCTTTTTTTCTTGATAAAAGTTGTCTTTGCATGTATCTTATCCTTTGCTTAAATTTCTTGTGAACTTCTTCTGTCTGCTGTTATTAAACTACCCATAACAGTTGATGGAAGAAGTTTGCACATAAATATAAATATATAATAACATGTCTGTATATAATATTATAATGAAAATATATAAAAGAATTAGAAGAATTAGAGTTTGTCTATAAAATAAAATATATAATATAAAAATCATGTAAATGACAATTAGTTTTAAATTGTACAAAAACATAAACTTGTTTTAATTAGTTAATTTTGATCTTTAAAAATTCTAGAAATAAAATAAAAGGAAAATGGAGACAAACAAGCCTGATAAATATACAGGATAAGACTTAAGTTAAAACGAACTATTACAATTATTTTACTACAATTTATGTATTTTATTTATAGCTATAAAAGGTTGCGCTTCTAATTTTCTTAATATTTCATAGAAAATTTTTTTTTTAGAAATTTAGTGAGAACCGATTTATAGTAATTATGGTTTCGATTTTATAAAGTTGTCTACTTTTAACTACAAAAAATAATTATTATACTAATACAGTAATAGCCATAAAGTGTGACATTTATATTATACCATTATTTACATCAGTGTATCTACGTGAAGACATAAATATTTTATAACTGTTTATTTCTATTTTTAGGGCCTCAATCGCCTTCAACTACTGTACCACAACCGATGGGTCCTAGTAGTGCACCAGCTTTATGCAATGTATGTGGCAGTAATATTCATACAAGTACTTCAAGGAAAGCTAAATCTTCTGCTTGGTGGTGTTGTATACTGATGTGTATTTGTGGGTAAGTATTAAAACGAAGAATTAAAAAAAGAATTGATGACAAAATATTAAAAAAATAAACAGTTGTGAATACTAACTAAAAACTAAATAATGGAGTTGATAAATTGCAACCACTAATAGAAGTAAATAAATAACATATAAATAAATTTTGTCTTACTTTTGTGCTTATGTTGTATCATAGTAGTTCTTTGTGGTTGCCAAATAAATAATATATTTTTTACTGTTACCTAATGATCAATTATTATAATAAATTTGCACTTTAGTATTTCTTAGATATCCAACTACTCATTTAAATACAAGGTTAATTATAATCATAGGGTCAAAATATTTAGTGTTACTTGAAATCATTGTGATCACACTGTATACATGTATTGCTTTATAATTATTTAGTATTTTTACAAAATTAAATTTTTTTTTTTTAGATGTTTTTGTGGATGCTGTCTCATTCCTTGCTGCATGGACTCTTTCAATGTTGTCAACCATAAGTGCCCAAAATGTAAAGCTTTTTTGGGACAGTACAGATCATAAACTAAAATAAAACAATACTGTTTAAATCATAAATAGTTTACTTTTTTTATTATTATTATTTATCAAAAACGACAAATGAATAAAAATGTTTTTCAATTTTCCATGTAGTATGTATTTCTATAAAAAATAAAATAAAATAATTTTTTGCTATTTTATATTTAAGCATACATGATAGTAGTATATTTAAAAATAAGGTACTATAATATTAATTTTCTACTTATTATGTACAATAAATTTTCTTAATTAAACAGAATATTTTTTTTTTTTTAATGGGGTTTTATTATTTTAACGGTTCAAAGGTCTTTAAACATGTTTAACTATTATATATATTTTACATAGATACCAGATATAAATTATATATACTTTATTAAACCACCGTAAAAAAATGTCAACTGATAAAAAGATATATTAATGTAGTAGATACGTACATA